ATGTACTTGTATTTCGATATATAATTAAATGGGCTTTGTCAATGAATTTTCCTCAATTAATGTTTTTAACTATTTCAATTATTGTCATCAAAAATTAAATTAAATTTTGAAAAATCAAACATGGGCTAACCATGCTCGGGTCCGGTGCTCACTCCTAACTTATCCGGACTCTAAAGTGCATCACTAAACATCTTGAGTTTGCAAGACATGTTTACCAAAGATTGATCCTATTAGGGAAAGGGGAAAAGAAAACATGTCTCTTATTCTTATGGTCACTACTGCTTTGTTGAAGGAGGGATTACCCTCTTTGTTCGCCAATTCAATCGACTCATTTATAGAATCGGAATGGCTCGACTGTTTGACTGATAATCCTGGCGGTCAAAGCATCTGCATCGCCAAAAACCTGCAAGGAGTCCCTAAAGACTTCAACAGTCCTTCCATTTTGTTGTCTCAACAGCGGGAAGACTGGCACTTCCACTATGAGAGGTGTAGTTGAGTGTCAGTAAACCCATCTCCTCACATGTCTTCTTCAACATCTTTTACGTTGATCTCTACCTCGCTCTTTTGTCCGGAGGGAATTTTTCAAGTTGCCATCACTTTGTCATGTACAGCACCTCCAACTCTTGATGCCTCAGTGGGGTGGATCTAATATAGTAAAACCCACCCACGTATGTTGGGCACAAACACAAAACTAGCCAATAGCACATGGAAGAAAATCCCATTGCAAACGGGCATTGGCATTATCTAGCGTGATGCTGATGATTTTATTGGAGATACCAAATTCATTGACAACTCTCATATTTTTGGCAGCCACATTTCGAGAATCACGCAACAATGTTAACTTCATAAATGTGAGCGCTTAGTAAAATAATTCTAATTTCTCATTGTCTCGATGGACGGTGTTAATTTAGTTTGCGTATTTCCTACGGTTAGCCCATAAAATAGAAATTAAAGAGGCTAAAGAATTACTAATCAATAGCAGATGCACCAACGCGACCTTTCTCTTTGTACAACGACTTGTAGTTTCTTATGTTTGTTGTATGCAAAACGAGCTTGAACTGAGGTTGTAGAGCTTTCTGCAAATGGACCAAGCGGCTATCTTTGGCGAAGCCAGATGGTTGCTCGCCAACAAGATCAAAATATGCAAGCTCTTGTTTATACATCGCCTTCTCATACTTGAACCGACTTCTGGCATGCGGCGTTCTACTTGAAAAGCTCGCCCTAGCCCTTGTTGATTTGCCATTTAAACAATGCCACATATCATGCAAATGACCTTTTGGACACGATTGTCACCAATCCCGAGCTAGAATGTCTTCCAAACACCGAACGTTCTTCTCCGCGAAGCCGGTGCCAAGTTGCGGTAGGATTTTCTTCAAGAGTAGGGTTGTGGCAGGGACTAGATTCCAGCATCCACCTCTGCAATTCCTCCCAATCATCGAGTCGTGGTGCCTCCTCATCGTTGAATTCGCTTTGTTGCGGGGGTGGAGACGATACGAATACATTGTTGTCGAGGAACTCGCTTAAAGAGTAAAGTAGCCATCCTCATTCTTTCGCTGCCAGGGAGTGAAGTGAAGACCTTGATCATAGAATTCGAAGCAAGGCAAGATACTCATGACCAAATGTTATCGAACAGGCAACTACACTTTGCCCTCTTTCTAGCTTTAGACCGATCGAAGAATGTTGGTTTGTTAACTCTAGCTCCGATCTCTAACTCTTTCGACTTACTACCCTACGTTACGGCTTTGCAGCAGTGGTTTTCGCCGGTCAAATTCCTTTAATCTCAATAAGTTAGGATATGCCCTACACCCTCTCTTATCCGGCCCGATTCAAACATATCATGCTTCGTTTCCCTCGCGACCAAACGTCATCGAAGGAACAGCCACTCGATTCCCTCTCCGTCGTCGGCTACTAAAATAATTCTAAGTATCCAAGCAGAGATCGTGAAAATGCCGCACCCAGAATTAATCTAATGAAAAGGAAATTAAAGCGTGTATGGAGGTGGGAAACAGGGATAACAATGGAAATGATTGGGAAGTTGATCCTTCGGTCTCCACGACAGAATATTCTGGTTGCGCGTATGGGGAGCCTAATGGGCCAAATTAATATATAAACAAAATAACCAAATAAATATAAATACTGGCCTTTGTTTTTTTTGGCCCTCCTCAAAATGTTTGATTAACCCATTTTTGTGAACGATGTAGCCCACTTCTTTGGTACATGGGACGGTGGCCTTTGCCCCTTGGGACGTGTAGTCATGATTGCTTCTTGGACTGTCAATTTCCACATGGAAAGAAGGATGTTCCTCCAACTTTGCCTCTCTTCTATATGTATTTTTGGATTTGAATTGAGATCCTTTTTGGTTTTAAACTAAACTCTCGTGTATGATCCACCGTGGAAAAAGAATTTCAAGGGTTTTTTTCTCTTTTCCGGCGAGGTGAGGTGGCATGAGGTAGTCGACAATCGGCTATGGTATCAGATATATGACTTCGCGAGTTGGATCGATCTCCAAACGTAAGTTTAAAGTGATAAGTTGTGAGCCAATGTGTTACCATCATTGTTGCATGCGCACTCAACATCTTTGGGTCCCCGACAACCTTATGCACCTCAGTGGGATGGATGGCTTCTCCGAGATCACGAGCTTCCTTGTTTGCTTTCAACTTCGCACCTGGAAATTGATGTGAGCGAACGGAAATGGTGATGCTGATTGCGTCCTGCGAGCTCCGGCGACGCTCGGTAATTTTCTAGCTGGCCATGGGGCGACCATTTTCCACCGCGCAACCGCATCGCCTCCCCGCCGCTCCGTCCATCCAGCAATGCAAACGACGTGCCGGTCTGCATGGATATAACATCCAAAACGCTCTTGCGGTGCCCTTTTGAACATACATTTGCCAAATTCTACTTCGTTTATTCCTTAGAACAGCTTGTGACCATCGACACATTTCATTTTCTCAACCTTAACTTGGAAAAACAACTATATCTTTGTCTTCTCTCTTCCACCTGAAAAAAATCAACCAAACAATGATTTGAAACATAAATAAATGATTTCAAAAATATTTTCCTAAACAATGATCTTTTGTGTCGCTTTACAAAAAATATTCATTATCCATGAAAATATTTAAACATAAATTGTTATTGATAATGAAAATATTTTTCATTGACTAATTATTCAAGCGATACAAGTGATCGTTTTAGGAAAATATTTTTCAAATCATTCATTTTTGGCAAAATAAATGGAGCCGTATGACAAAAAAAATTGGAGCCTAAAGGAAGTTTTGGAGATGATCTATGTGAGTTCTAACTGCGTTTGGTCGTTCGGATTTCTAAACAGGATAGGACTGGATAGGATAGGATAAGAAATCCTAGGATTTCTTCATATCCTATCCACTGTTTGGTGGACTACGGATTTAAAGTCGGATAGGATAATTTTTTTTTTTTTTTGCTATTCACGGGTCTAGAAGAGTCGGTGAAGGAAAAAAAGCCGAGAAATTTTTTTGGTGAAAGCACACAAGGTGTGGGGATGAAGATGACGGCGAGTGGAGCGTAGGGTTTCTGAAAAAATAGACATTAGAAATCCTATCCAAGTCTATCCCACCCCCCTCGGATTTTTTTATCCGGGCTATATTCGGTCTATATCCGACCTTATCCTATCCTGGACCACCACCAAACACAGGATAGGATAAAACATATCATATCCTGGCTTTTATCCGGTCGACCAAATGCAGCCACTTAGTATTCATGTAGACAAACACACTCGTTTCAAGCATAGGTTAAGATTGACCTAATCCTTAAAAAAGTGCAAACAATAATTTTAATGTAAAAAGAGCAATGGTTCTAGAAGTTGGAACACGCGACCTTTTGCTCTAACTTTTTTTTTTTTTTTTTGGTAACCCAGGGAACCCCCGCACGGCCGACAGCCGGGGAGTAAACCCTGAGGGCGACACGTGCTAGCCACCACACACGTGCCACCGGTTAAGTCACCCTGCGGCGCCCGGGATTCGAACACTCAACCTTTTGCGAGAGGAAGAGTGCGCGCTCCAACAGCGCCACCCATAAGTTGCGCAATCAACATTACATGGCATCGGAGCTTGAAGATCTATATTCCAATTTCCAAAATATAACGTTGTATTTCTATATGAGTTTCCATTTTCGATCCATTTTAGATTGCGGTATTTATGTTTTGTTTTAGGATTTAATCTGTTCTTCATACTTCCGTTCACTTTCCTGCATTCTTGTAGGGGAGTGCATCTTCTTTAAAAGGGCATTTTTCTCCGACAATTATTATTCAAATCAAGATTTTTACGCTTATGATTTTCCCTATATCTTTTCAAGTGAGAGAATACCGTTTATAAATTTTACATTTCGGTAATCTCGAGATTTAAAAGAAAATCGAAATGAAATATTTTAAAATTTTGCTTAGGTCAGTACATTCTCTCTTTTTTGAAAAGAATATTTTTCTCTGTCAATAAAGTCATCATTATTCAAGTCAAGATCAGGTGTTTGTCATTATCAAATCGAACAAAATAGAGTCACTAATCATCTCCCACTTAGGCTTTTCTTGATGGGATGGATGGGGTTACTAGGGCAAGCCTAATTTTCGTGACAAGAGCTGATCATTAGAGGCTTGTGGTCTCACCATGCAAAGGTGGCAGGTGATGAAGTTGTAATTCCATATAGTAATCATGGATATCATTTCAATAGACCTAAAGGCAATATCTGCTCCCAATTTGAGCATGATGATATACAGCTTTATGGAGGATATGCACGACCCATCTTTTATTTTTTTGAAAGAAAAAATTATCCCACACCCAAAAAAGAAAAAAAAGTGAAAAGAAAATCATAGCAGTGTAGCCAAATAAATGTATTTATATCTCCTCTATTTTGCCCATTGTCTACCACAACAGTCTACCAAAGTAAGACCCCTGTAGACGGAGAGAGAAGAAGGGCCTTGAGGAAGAGCACCAAATCCTTTTCCTTAACCTTCACGCCTCCATTAACACCCTCTTCTCTCTCTCTCTCTGGCGCAAATTAACTGCCATTTCGAAAAACCAGAAGGAAAACAGAGAGAGGGAGCTCGCTCTTTCTCACCCACCTCTCACTTCTCATAAACGCACTCTGTTTTCTCCCCTGCTTTTCTCCCTGGCATTTATCCCTCTTTGCTCACAGACCAAGGCCACCACCACCCCCCCTAAGATTCTCACAGAGTCTCTCTCTCTCTCTCTATCTCTCGTCTTCTCTTTAAATGCCCACTTCATCCCACTCCAAGACTTCCCCATCAAAGAAACAGAGCATTGCAGAACCAAGAAACAGGGGAAGCATAAAAGAAAGCCACTGAATAGAGTCCTCTCTCTCTCTCTCTCTCTCTCTCTCTTTCTCACTTCACCTTCCTCCTCCATTTCTTGGTTTTCTTGTTAAAGAGACCAAACATGGGTTCGGGTTCTTGCGGAGACCAAGAACTGGAAGACGAGCGAAGAACGGACGAGCCTATGCTCGTGAACGGGCCCATCATCATCGGTGCAGGGCCCTCCGGCCTCGCCGTCTCGGCCTGCCTCTCCGAGCGAGGAGTCCCTTCCCTTATCCTGGAGAGGAGCGACTGCATCGCCTCCCTCTGGCAAAACAAGACCTACGATCGCCTCAAGCTCCACCTGCCCAAGCAGTTCTGCGAGCTCCCGCTCCTCCGCTTCCCTCAAAACTTCCCGAAGTACCCGACGAAGCACCAGTTCGTCTCCTACCTGGAGTCCTACGCTTCCCACTTCGAGATCAGGCCCATCTTCAATCAGACGGTCCAGAGGGCCGAGTTCGACGAGTCTCGCGGGTTGTGGAGGGTCCGGACTCGGGAGGGGCTCGAGTGCAGCTCGAGGTGGCTAGTGGTGGCCACGGGGGAGAATGCCGAGCCGGCGACGCCGGACGTGGCCGGGCTCGAGCGTTTCCAGGGGCGGGTCGTCCACACGAGCGGGTACAAGTCGGGGTCGGAGTTCAGGGGCCAGCGGGTCTTGGTGGTGGGCTGCGGCAATTCAGGCATGGAGGTCAGCTTGGACCTCTGCAGGCACAATGCCACTCCTCACATGGTGGTTCGCAACACTGTAAAGTCCTCTCCAACTCTCTCTCCTCATAGTCTCAATTAAATACACATAATCTCTTTTTGTCATTTCATCACTTAATTCCCTTGACCGCTGACCCATATGGATTCTACTTCTTCTCCTCCTCCTCCTTTCTTCCCCCATAAAAGAAAAAGAGTCATTAATTTTTCTCCTGATTCTGTCATCTGGGATGCTTCAAAATGTAATCTTATTCGTCATCAATCTACTTTTGGTGGGATGATATTGACCATGCTTGTTCCTGCTGATTACAGGTACATGTTCTGCCCAGAGAAATGCTTGGGTTCTCAACATTCGGAGTGGCCATGGCACTGTTCAAATGGCTCCCTCTAAGATTGGTGGACAAGATCCTCCTCCTAATCGCCAACGTCACCTTGGGCAACACCGACCAATTGGGCCTCCGGCGGCCCAAGACCGGGCCGCTCGAGCTCAAGAACATCACCGGAAAGACCCCCGTCCTCGACGTCGGCGCCCTCTCGCAGATAAAGTCCGGCAAAATCAAGGTAATTAAGCGCACTCAAAGTTACTAGCCGAGCCTTTCCATGTAACTATTTACACTGATGGCATGAGTAGAGAGTGCTGATTCAATTTAGGGTTTATTTTCTTTTCTTAGGTGATGGAAGGAGTGAAGAAGATAACCAAGAATGGGGCTAAGTTTTTGGATGGGCAAGAGGAGGAGTTTGATTCCATAATCCTGGCAACTGGGTACAAGAGCAATGTCACTAGTTGGCTCAAGGTGAGGCAGATTTCATTCATTCATTCATTTATTTTATTTATTTGTGAATACTTACAAAGTTTTGGTTAGTTTTTAGTTCTATCTTATTATGCATCACATGTCACTTTCTTCGCGTGGAGACATGCAAAGCGGAAGGAGAGACCTCCAGATCTCTCCCTTTCTCCATGCAAAAAAAAAAGAGAAAAAGAATAGAGAAAATGACAAATAAATTAGGGCTTGGGACTTTTGCTTGGGTTAAAATTCCCTTTGTTGTAGGATCTTTCTTGTAGGATGACAAAAATGTATTCTCTGTGCCTCCGCCATGATACGTTACTATCATGACATCGATTATTTCATTTTATTTTATTTTGGTCTAATGATGACATCGTATTATTCAGTGTGCGCATATTCGCAGAATCATAGCCTAGAAGGCCCCTTTTAATTTAAATTCAACTCGATTTTTATTTTTTGACATCATTTTTCTAGTGTAAGCCAAAAATGTTCCGGGACTGGGATTTGTGATGTCTCTTGTATCTTGTATTATGATGATTAACATTTAATTGCGGGTGGTAAAGGTGATGTTGCTTCTTATGGCTAACAAGCAAAGATTAACCATTGTGATTTGTGATGGTTCTTGTATCTTGCTTAGTGGTGATTTGACATTTGACTAGGGGTGGTAATTAGGGTTGCTTCTTACGGCTAGCAAGCAAGATTGACCCGAGAATCTTTGTTTCCCCCATTGTGATTATGCAATGTATCTTGCATCTTGCTTTATGTCGATTAACGTATAATTTGGGGTGGCAATTAGTGTTGCTTCTTATGGCTAACAAGCAAAAATTGACCCAAAAATCTTCGTTTCACCCATTGCGAGCACCGCACTGGCATGATATCCTCAACTTTTGACTAAGTGGATCTACAACACCATAGCACGTGGAGGTCTCGAATTCGATCCCGTCCCAATCGCCGAATCTGTGGGAGGCCTTTTTGACGTGTAATTTGCTTGTTAGGGCTAAGCAAAATGTAGTCGATGCATTAGTTAACCAACTTGAGGGGATTAATTAAGTCAAGATAATTAATGAAGAATAGATAACCTGAATGGTATTTTTGTCCTCATCATTTGGCACCAAAATCGAATGAGTAATATCACGTTGTCTCGAGATTTTTTAGTTATGTAATTTTGTAATGTTCAAAGTCAATTGATGTAATCAAATCTTATTTTTGCTCAGGGGGTTGATTCCTTCTCCAAAGAAGGCATGCCCAAGACACCATTTCCGAATGGTTGGAAAGGGGGTGATGGGTTGTACACCGTCGGATTCACGAGGAGAGGCATCCTTGGGACCGGCTGCGATGCAATCAAGATCGCTGGAGACATCGCCGATCAGTGGAGATCAAGCATCGAGGAAAGCAACCAAGATATGCATAATTGCCACATTATCCACCTCCAAAAACCATGATCGACCGACCCCAAAAATATAAAAGGAAAAAAAAACAGAAGAAAATAACTTGACCTTCCTAAAAAAGGGCAAAAGAAAAGAAGAAGAAGAAGAAGCTATGTTTTATGGGTCAACGCCGGAGTCAAGCTAGGGTTTGGCAAGTTTGTATTTATTCTTCACTTAGGTTTGAGGATATCTTTTCTTCTTCTTTTTTTCCTTTGCCCTTTTTTTGTTGGCCCTTTTCTTGCAACATTCGGTTCTTGTTGTAAATACTCCAATTTTGCTAGCTCTCTTTGTATGTTTGTCGACCTCATGTGATCCGAAAAGGAGAAGTGTTTGAGCAAAGTGTGTAGCGTGTTGCACCATCAAATTCATCTCTCTCTCTCTCTCTCTCTCTCTCTCTCTCTCTCTCTCTCTCTCTCTCTCTCTCTCTCTCTCTCTCTCTCTCTCTCTCTCTCTCTTCTCGGAATAGGGTATGGTCCATGTTCAAGAAAGGAGCATGCAAGGTTTCCATCGCGATGAAAGGCTCGTTCATTAAACTACTGTTGCTGCACGTGCCTTTGCTGAATAGAGAAGCCTCTTGTGTGTTATGGCGACGCAAAAGGGAGACGAAGACCAAATGCTTCTACATCCCATATCCAATACCTCCTTGCTAATTGTCAGGTTTCCCGCTAAAGAAAGTACCGGACATTAAGTTCAAGATCTTGGCCACTACTAGGGTTTTTGTGAGCAAATTCTAGTAGGATAAAGCTGCCATTGACTGCTTGGAATCATTGCATGCTTGAGTGATCTAATCGATTAGAATAGTACTTCTTAAGTTGCACTTATGTTTGATAGTCTCAAAATGTAGAATTTGTACGACATGAAACAGTTAATATATATTCTAATTGATTAAGAACTGATTTAAACTTTTGAACTGTTATGCGCTCCCGACATCATTTTTGTATGTAGGGTCATTATTTCGTGAACCATACTTTGTGACATCATTAAAGACAAGTGAAGTATCACCATTCGTGACGTGGGATACTTAGTATCATTTGAAACAAGCTCCATTACATAGGGAGAGCTACTATGTAATGTATAAAGAAGCCAACCCAATATCAAACACAATGTAGAAGACTCATCATTTTCCCAAATTCGCATTTGGGGACGATAGGAATTCCCCCTAACGTCCGTGAATCCCGGATGTACGAGCGCTCGGGGTACACGAGAAAGGAAACTGTGCAAAATTGTTGCCTCGCTCTTCTCATGCAAAGCTCAGATTTCCTAAAGATGTGGAAAAGCCATGCAGTGAAGCATCCCGTCCACATCACTTCAAGCCGTGAACTATCACGAAGACGGAAACCCCAGTGCCCCTCGCCGAAAGGAACGGCTCATCCAAGCTTTCCCAACTGTTTCGGAAACGACTGTACCACGTTCACAGCAATCATGGTTCCATGACGCAGAAGCGCTGCAGTGCAGATGTGAGGGGGAGAAAGAGGAGAGACAGAGAGGGGACGTGGATCGTACGTGCAGCGTCCAAGTAAGGTTCTGGTTTTTTCCGTCTCTTTTCGTTATGTTTAGGTTCGCATATGCGGGTGACATAACTCGTATAATCCATCGATTAAAGGATTCTAACTAAGGGTTTCTCCGACTAAAGTCGAAGGAAAACAAGGCGGGTCGAATGTAGTCGAAACTTTGCGAGTTCAAGATGATCTATCGGGAAAAATATGGTGTACTTCATTTGGAAACTTCAAAGCAGTTTCGTCTGATCTGCTGCATATCAGGCTAAAGATTGGCTTTTGTGTTGGCTTCACTCGACTCAGGTTCCATTGCTTCTTTGGGGGGTGGGGGGAAATTGAAGAAAATTAAAGGGTAGGGGAGGAAAATTACTAAAAATTTAAAATTTTTCCCTCCACCACCTTCTCAAAAAAAATTCAAAATCATCTATTCTTCCCACACCCACTTTCATTCCCTCCTCTTTCCTTCATTTCTTAAATAAAGATTTGCATTTGGTCGATATAACAAGAATCAAGATACAATGGAAAAATACTGTATAAGAAATCTGCCAGATTGCTAATTGTGCTTGGAATAACTTCGGATATGGTCATATTCCATCGTATTGAGTGTTTCATGCACCTATGTTAGGAAAGAAAAATTAAAACTTAAATTAACTAATGAAAAGGGGAAAAAAAGAAAGCTTAGATCTACGAACCGTAGCGGCCACTATGATGGTTGTCATTGATGATGGTGTCTGCTGTTGTTGTGGTGGGCGCCTTTAAATTAGAGAGAAAGAGAGTGGGATGGTAGCCACTGCCATGGTGATCACTTAGGGAGTGCGATCGCCACGTATGAAACCCTTAGGATGGAAGTGTTATCGTGAATCTCAAATCTAGAGAGAGAGAGAGAGCCACCACCGCATGAGGGTCACCTAAGAGCCACGACCACCAGACAGTGGCTGCAAGGTTGCTGCAACCATTGACATGGTGGCACGGAAATTTTTCTAATCTAGGCAAGTAATCAAGTTTTTTTATTTGGTCATATCCGAATTTATTCCATCCAAATGACTTTACCAAACATCAAGTAGGATAACCTTTTTCCAATGCAAGCGCAGATCCAATTTACGGAACACCCCCTAAATCCATGAATAGGCAAGTTCCCTCGTGGGATTTTTAAAAGGAGTTGTAAGAAACAAAGATGCACAATCTCCCGAGAAATCAATAAGCAAACCACATTTACATGCAAATTTGGATAATTACAAATCTGAGCATCTTCCGTATCTGTAACTTACCAATCAAAAGATTTGAGCGGTGAAAATCGAGGTTGATATAGGAATCAATTTTTAAATTTACAAAAGTGGAGTTTTTACCTAAAAACCAAACGTGGGAATGTGTTTTTGGGAAAGAACAAGAAGAGAAAAAAAGCACTTGGACATCCATGCAAGTGCAGAAAAATAACCTGCATCGAGTTTTGCGTCGTGTGCTGTGGAGAGAGGAAATGAGAGCAAATACGTCAATTAGGCTGCGCCTGGCAACTTGCCAAATTGTGTTTGATTCTGTTCTTTTGTTCCCAGAATCAGTTTGGGAATAGAAATCCGTTTGTTTAATTTTTTGATTCTGGGCACAAAATTTGTGCCCAGAATCAGTTTTGGAGCAGAATCAAGAATAAAAAAAAAGTAGCTTCTTGATTTTGAGAACAAAAATGAGAATCAGTTTTTTTTCTTCTTCTTTTTCTTGATTTTTAATATAACTTCTAATGTCCAGCGCAAGGGCCACCCTCGCCGTATCTGGCGAGATTAAAATATTTTAATAAAAAATATTATTAATAAAAAAAATTTACCGGCCATGGCCAGCGACCAAGCCATGCCGAAAAAAATAAAAAAAAATTATTAATAAAAAAAAAAATTTACCGGCCATGGCCAGCGACCAGGCCATGGCGAAAAAAATAAAAAATATATATTTTCAATAAAAATATTTTTTATTAAAATATTATTAATAAAAAAATATTTATAAAAAATATTTTACCGGCCATGGCCAGCGACCAGGCCATGGCAAAAAAAATAAAAAATAATAATTTCAATAATAATATTTTAATAAAAAAATATTATTAATAAAAAAATATTTATAAAAAAAATATTTTACCGACCATGGCTAGCGACCAGGCCATGGCGAAAAAAAAAAGAAAAAAATATTTTCAATAAAAATATTTTTTAAAAAAATTATTTATAAGAAAAATTTTTACCGGCCATGGCCAAAAAAAATTAAAAAAATTATTTTTAATAAAAGTATTATTAATTAAAAAATATTTTACCGGCCATGGCCAAGAAGGAGGAGAAGAAGAAAAAAGAAAAGAAAGAAATATTAAAATATTTAAAATGTGATTAAAATATTATTGATAAAAAGAAATTTTATGCCGTTACTAAACGCATTTCTGTTCTTTTACTATTTCAGGAATAGAAATTTTGGGCCATTACCAAACGCCTTCAAATGCTCAGAATCAGTTTTCGGGCACAGAATAAAAAAAAATTATTTCTGATCAGAATCTGCTCTCGGATACAGAATGGTTGTCATGCGCGACCTTAGTGAACAAATACGAGTGAGGTCCTTACGAAACGTACGAAGCTCATATTCACCTTCTTCCTCATCTCTCCCTCTCTACTTCAGACATCTCTCTCTCTCTCTCTCCGCTCCTTCTGTTCCTTCTGCTGTCTGAGCCACATTGCACGACACGTTCTACGTGCGTACGAGCGGTCGCGTTCGTGTGTTGATGTGCGCTTTGTTGGGTTGCTGTCCTCTCTCTCTCTCTCTCTCTCTCTCTCTCTCTGCCGCCACTGGTGGAGGTAATCGTCGTCGGCATCTTCTCCCTCCTCTGCAATGAATGAGTCGGGAAAATCATTCACCACACGCTTCCAACTGCACGCCTTCCCGGTCACACCTTACGTCACTCCTCCCCACTCCCTGAATCCACACTGACACATTTTGAAATCTGCGCACAGAGAGAGAGAGACGGAGAGGGGAGCGGGGGGGAGTCAGATCATCGTCCGTCAGATGATGACATGGTGATGGCGGTTTGATTTGAATCGAGTTGATTGATTTGCTCGCCATTTGAATTCCAGCTCTCAAGGCAGTGAAAGAAAAGGGTCTCATCCCTTTGCCCCATCTGCTTCCATTTCTGATGTCATCAATTCTAAATCTCTCTCCGTCTCTCCGCAAGAAAAGTGACTGCGCTTTCCTCTTTCTTGCAAACAATTGTAAAAATTTAATACGAGAAAAAATCTTAAATCATGCCCGTTGCCACATTTACATCAATATTTCTAACTTTGTGGTGGTGCTAGATTATGCCTGTTGTTACTTCAATATCCCAACTTTTTTTCTCGCACCAGTACAAATTTGGGGTATTATCCACACGAAAAAGATTATGCATATCGGTGTCGCTCGAGGTAAAGTTTAGGATTTTTTGTGGTAGTCGAACGATATTTTTGTCACGCTAATACAAGTTTGAGTATTAATATCATGGTGTAGTTTTCAATCATATTGTTTCCTAAAGTTTTAATTTAAGAGGGATAAAAGAAATTGAAGGTGAACAAAATAGGATGCAATAATAGGCCGTTGAAAGAGAGTTTAATCTATAGCTAGTGTTTTATTATTATGAGCAAACGCTAAATAAGGACATCACCCATATTCATAATTAGTCTAATGTTATATGTGTGTGTTGTTTATATTTAGGGTTAATACCACGAAAAATCCTAAATTGATAAACCTGTGATAAATTTACCCAAAACTAATTTTTTTACCACAAAAAATCACAAACTGATATATTTGTGACAAATTTATCCTCCGTTAAATTGAATTAATAGCACGAAAAAT